CAACGGTAATTGACAAATAAAAAATGAGTAGAAATTGTATTTATTATTGTATTATATATATTTATTATTATAATATTATATATGTTTAATAAAAGAATATTGTATATAAATATATAATATTATTTGATTAAATAGTATATACCAATTTACATGATCTTACATATATGAAGTGATAACTTATTTTTTCATACATATTTTATAGCTCGTAATATTTACGAATACATAATGTCAACCAGCGTTTTCAGTCCATACATTTCACAATCTTGTATCTATGACAAAATGATCGATCAGCATATGTAATGAAAAACGTTAGTGGAGGTTTTGTTCACTTTTGTGGTGACAGCAACATATGCGAAAATCATAATATTTGCAAAAAGCATGACTACCGAAAATGCAGATTTAACATTGTCATAGATAATGTTTAAAAAAAAGAAGCTTGTAAAGAATAACAATTATATATTTTTTAAAAAATTACGCAGTGAATTGAATTTATTATATTATTATATAAAATAAGAATGTAAAAAATTACATTTTCAAATGTCTTTTCGAATGGTTTTTATTTTAATATTACAATTTTTTATTACGGGATTTTTAGTATAATACTTTTTGGTATATACTCAAGCAATGCTTAAATTACATGGATACTTTTTTTTAAATATTTATTCTTTATTTTAAATATATGTATTTTCTAAAAAAAATATGTTATTCATATTTAAAACTATAATAATGTATTTAATCATGCATATGAAGCAATATATATACACATATTTGAAGAGAAAAAGAGGGAGGACGGGAAATGAGGCAGAAAGAGATTGAAAAATGATGTTATATATATATATATATATATATATATGTAAATTTATACATAGTTAAAAATTTAAATGACAGATTTATGAAATCAGTAACATGTAAATAATTTATGTATATGTGTATGCGTGTACGCGCGCGTGTGTTTCAAAGGAGATATGTGAAAAAATATATTAACATATTATAGTGATCGAAAATTTGAAAGGTCAAGAGGATTTAGATGTAATACTATTATTTATAACTGTCTATAAATTGTTATTACCTAAATGTCTATAAACAGTTTTAATCTTTACATAAAAGTAGTAAAGAATGGCAAAATTATTAAAATAGTCTAGGTAGCAATACGTAGGTGTAAAGTATCATTTTGTTTCAATCGATTCGAAACATGTACGAACGAGGATATATACGCGTAAGGAAGTAATCGAAGCTGCCTTGTCGTGCTACAACAATAATCGTAATTATGGTTCGGTCCAACGCAATTGAAGTTTCCGGGAATCTTATCACATGTATGTTATGTCTTCAATTATACATACACTCCTTCGTGATAGTGTTGTTTTTAACAGTTTTATCTTTGATTTCAAGGCAATTGCAAAGAAAATATGTATGATTAATAAATTATGCAGCAAAGTTTATATTAATATATTCTTAGATTAAAATTATATTGTAATGTGCTCTGCAATCGAATCGCAAGTCTATATCGAGCGATCTCGTTTGCCACTTCTGTCTTAACTGCCATGTCCATGACTGCTACACTGGGTATCTTGTATATTTGATATACATATCATAAGTTAGAGGTCAGTCAGCTCTAAGTATTCTTTAACACGATATTCATAGTTCGAGTACACGTGCAGTTAGTACTAATGAAAAGTTGTAATACAGATTTATCTCAGTAATCCAGAATGATCAAATAAATTTTATATTGTATAATGATTACGTAAATCGTTTTATGTAAAAAAAGGGGTAAACCTTGTTTACTTAAAGTCAAAAGTTTAAAAATACATATCATACAAAATGCTGTTATATTTATGTAATGGATATTTTGCGAAACGTAACGTATTCTAAAATTCCGACGAAATTAATGTATATATATATATATATATATACACACACACATTGAGACTCTAATAATTATCCAATTTATCTACTAAACTGTATAAAGACTATGATATAGTAAACTAGTCGTACTTTATGCTCTATATACTTTCACGATATGATACGATCGACCACGCCCGCTCTAAGCATGTTGGTAGGAATAGAGTTCACCGATCCCGCCAGGCACGTACAATGCTTATAAATACACCTTTTTCAAATTCATATAATCGATTTTTGTGATAACTGCTATTTTTAGATTCAATAAATGACGCAATAACGATGCGCTTGCACACGAATGATGAGAGCACAGAATCGGAAAGTTCTCGAATAGCATTAAAAGTTCAACTGCGATTGCTGTATTTCTTCCAGTGCAAGGAAGTTATATATTAGTCAGGACAATCGCGAACTAGATGAAGCCGATTTTCGCAAATCGAGTTTCTTCCAAGTAAAACGCTTGTCTCAGAGAACCAGAAAATCAAATAATACATGATGAAACTAGCTGTAATATAATCTTGTTGTTAACAATTTACTTGAAATAAACTGACTATAGTACTCAATGTGATGTACTTGTACTGTTTGTAGATAATTAAATGAATAATTATCAATATTATTCAATATTTTCACTGCAACCATGTAAATATTGAAAATGTCTTATATTTTCAATTAATATTCAGAAATGTTTTCTATTTTAAAACTGACTATCAATTTTCACGATTAGGACTCAACAAAAATCGCAACACTTAGATCATGCCTATATTGAATACAGTTATCTTATCTTTTTTCATATTATACCACATCTATTTATATTAATAGTTAATATTCATTAATATCTTGCGTCAACTCTACCAAGCTCTACTATCAAAAACTTATATGCTAAATTTTATTGTGTATATTATCTCTTTTCATCGTTACGCGAACAATGATCTTTTTTGTTTACAGCCCCTCGTTACTATCGTCATCTGAACAGTTTCAATCATCATCGTTCGATCATCAATCATCAGAAGATCTTTCTGTAAAGAAGGAATCGAGTGCAAAGGATCACCCTGGAATACGCTAGGACTTGTCAAAGAACGAGAATTGCATGATCGAGTCTGCATTCAAGCGCTTCTCATCGTGAGATAGCGCATCTACGCGAAATGATCATGTGACTGTCAACGTCTCATATCCAGATCTCTACCGAGGGATGTCCTCCTCCGCGGATACCGCTTGCACGGACGCTGAGGAGGACGCCGAGGATGTGGAGAACGACGTCGCGGGTACAACGGCGCAGTCGTCACGTTACCTGTCGTCGTCGTTGTCGTCGTCGTCGCCGTCGCGAATTCGTCACCGTCGCCGCGAGAGCGATCACTTGGAAGGATTGCGGTTAGATGGGTCATCGGTCGTGTATCGTTCATCATCGTCCGACGACACTTCTGGGAGCACTGTCGAGGACTCACGCCCATCGATGTCGTGGGCACGCAGATAAGAAAAGGGCATCGTCCCGCTCATTACGAACACCGTTAACATACGTAATCGTTTTCGAGGGACGACGGTCAGGTGGATCGATCGGCGCCGTACTCCGATCGTTCGTCCACCTCCTCTTCCTCCCTCGTGACAGTTCGATTGTCAGGCTCTTCCAGCCAATATTTATTTCGCACGAATTCGACGAATTGTATGACCACGAACGACCGACTGCTGGACCGATCGATGGATCGCCGCGGTCGACAATAACAGCCAGTATCTTCGAGGCGAGGTCAGGAAAGTCGATAAACGTATTCGCCGAAACGAGCGTGCGCGGTCAAGCACGTGCGACTAGAATTTCGAATGAGTATCGAACGTGCAAATCGATAAACGAATTTGAAGCGCACTCGAGGGTCTTCGAAAGGCCAGCTGAACCATCGACTAGCAACGCGCCAGTTGCCGCTGGTGTTGAGAAATCCTTTGGATCAGTACTAATCCTTTTGAACGTCATTGGCCTTCCAGTTGAATTGTCAATCCGATTTATAAAATCGATCCACCCAAAGAATAGTAAGATAAATCAGCGCGAAAACGTCGTTGATTTCAAGAAACAATTCTCGATAATCGCACTCTTGAACTTCGTCTACCATCGATTATCAAACGGGCGAATAATTACACGTGTTAAATACGTGTCAATTTTCTTGAGTAAATTGAACGAATCGGTAAATCATTTTTTACAGCCGGCTATTCTCAAGGCTATTCTCGATTTCTACGAAACAATTCGTTTTTCTTTCTTCTCATCGAGAAAATCTTTGATACACGTAACTGTCCCATTTCGAGCTGCCGTGATGTCAGGAAGAAGGACATCGTTTAGGTGACGAAAGAAGTCGTCGCTCCTACCTCCGCTATTATTTATCGAAGAATCGTCGACGGCAGCCTCTTTTGAACTTCCATTCGATCGCCTAATGGGATAGTAAACGATACGAGAATCTAGGACAAGAAAAATCTCCCAAGAAATTCGCGGCTTTCTCTGTTTTTCGTTACTCATCGGAAGTTTTGGTCGATTAAGAAATCGTAAGCAGAAGATAATCTTTAACGCTGAAACAAAACGCCAAAACTGAATTAAAATTTGTTTCAATTATAAGATTTTATAAGCAACAAAAAATCTTATTGATTTATCAAAAGTGATCATGAGGATTATCAGGCATTTTTTCTATCAAGAGTGCTGCGGAATCATTTTATGTGAAATTGTAAAATTCTCCTAAAAACTAAATGTTCATTTCGGAGAGCCACTTGTTACACAGTTACATAAAACCGTGTTAAAATTGTTTTAACGTATTTTAATGACTTTTCCCGAATAAGTGCTGGCGTTAGATAGTTGGCGCGCGTCGTACGATCAATCTAATGAATCGCAATGGTGAATTATCGTAAACGATTTCAAGTGCGTGAGGTGTATCGTCATTTTGTTATGTGTGTATCAAGAGATATACCTGAAGTGAATTATTGGTGATAGCGAGTGAAAAGAGAAAGAGCAGAAGAGAAGATACGCAGGATTTTTGTTATGTATCGCAAGCGGCTCATAATCATCTTAGCCGGCACAAGCTGGCCGAGATCCTGATAGCCTTCGCAGCGACCAGGATCCGGGACCATTCAACAAAGAAAGGATGCCAGGGGGGCGTAGGGGCCTAGTAGCCCCCCAAAACACGTTCCTGGAGAATATCATACGACGCAGTAGCAGTCAACGTAAGTTTTTGATTTTTTTTTTCTTATTAAAATATTAAAGACTATAGATAACATCTCGATAAGTTTCTTCAAGCTATAAGTTATTGATGGACATTTTTTTAGTTTTAATTCAAGCTTGTTTAATGAAATTTTAATTTGGAGTTTAATAACAAAAGGATAATGATGTTAAAAATGAGAGGATTGGAATACCTGTGCTATAACTTCCCTCAATATTATCTATGAATTTTGATCACAACTTCAAATTAATTAAACAATCTTTCAAGTCATTAGAAAATACTGTATGAAAATTCTATACAATTTTAGCTCTATATACATATATATAATAAATAAGTGCACAGAATTTTTAATTTTAATGAACAATTGTTAGAATGAAGAAATAGATAAGAGTGCTAAATTTTGTGCAGATTGTTATTTTTTATATTTAATTATTAATTTAATTTTGATCTTACTGAGCTAAAAAAAGTAGATAATTAATTTTATTTATTATATCTTTGAGAAATAAGACGCGTATTGATTGTCATTCAAACTAATTGTCATCTTATACATACATTTATTTAAGATATAAAGAGGGAAATTATTAATTATTCTGTTACGAATCAGTATTCTCTAATTTTAATACTAATTCTGCATAATTGAGTGAGTATTACAATTGGATTTCGCTATTGTCGCACAAATTTTATACAATAACGTTTTACATATTATCGCGATGTAAATTTAAGCATTATAAATAAATCCTTGACAGTTATGGAAGGATTAAAACGAATCAATCATTTAATTTAATATCGATTTCCTTAATTAGGATGTCTCGAATTTCCGAAATCTGCAGGAATTTACTATATATTCATATACGTATATTTGAAAGCGGCAACAGTAGTTAAAATGAAGGTTACTCTATTTGGTTGTATCTCTTGCTTAGTATTTTAACTTATTCGACTCCAAAGAAGGATATCACGTGCACAAATGCATTTTACATTCTGATTATATTACATTTCAAATTCTAATTACATTAATAAGCTCTAGCGGCTAAAGTTTTGAAACTTATGCTAGATTTGATTAAAAGTTAAACACAAATAACAAAATTATGCAGCATTTTCTCTTCTTTTCACCAAATAAGTGTTAAAAATAACACGTAAAAATTATATAATATAACTTGAAATATACATTATATCTACTCTAGATATATTTATAGATACGATAATTTTATACTTTTTTCATTTATAATATCATCATAATTTAATAAACATGCAGCAAAATGAAGTTCTCGATCCAAAGCTATATGTGATAAGAAGATTACGCAGAATATATGCAAAATATTTTAATCGCAAAATTGCATTAGATGGTTAATTGTAAAGCGGTTTAAACATATTACGGCAAAAAGTTACTGATATTTACCTTTATAATAATAAGATAACTATAGTAGAATATTATAGTATTATAAGTAAAGAGGGAAAGAGAAGTTTATTTGCCATCCATTATACGACTGAAATATGTGAAATTTCTATAGTTGTTGGCGTTTATCATGTTTATGCGGAATATCGGGAAAGACTTTTTTTACGAAGACCACGGAGTCTCTTAAATTTCCTTCGACATAGAAGATGTTCTAGAAATCCTCTACCTTTCTTCTTAAGGCTAATAAATTCTATTTACCTTCGAGTGCTGCACGCACCACACAGAATTGTCAGTACGCTTCTTTTCGTATCTTCTCGTTGCACGTCGCGTGACGACTCTCCGAGAAGAAAACGATGTAAATTTATTCAAACTCTTTCCCCCGGAAACAGTTTTGCATGACGTAAAAACGAAAATCACGCTGTTAGCTTATAAAGTCATCACTTTTGACTATCAGTTTTTCGTAACAATTATTCAACGTTCGAAAGTTTATATTAAATTTGAAGTTTGCATCGATCATGATGATTATGATATTGAGAATTATAACAATATTTTTTAGTGATATAATAGACATAATAATTTTTATTTACATTTTGTATCAGTTAATATTAATGGATAACAATATTATGAAATTTATAATAATCAATAGATATCTTTCAACACACACACATATATATTATAAATTTATAATAAAAATTATAATAAATGAGATAGATCTAGAAAGGATTTATTATTGGAAAGAATCTATCGATTGATTTCGTTTGATCAAGAAATTCTTTGTAGGTAGTTAAACATCGAGTTCGATTTTACACGATAGAAGCTTATATCAGACTGATAGAACAGGAAAGGAGACAACTATACAACAGAGAATGTACTCGTATGTTTATATCAGAAGCAGACACATCAAGCGTGCACCTTTATAAAGTTACGATTACACCGTTGCAAAGAGACCATATAAAGCCTATAACGCAGTGGGTCACGCTGCATAATAATGTAATGATAGAGGAAATTATTAGCGACAATACAGTATATATAGTGCATATATGTTCGACGACCCACTGCTTCGGAAGTAAATTATACATGGCTAGTATATAGGAGCTGGCGAATAACGATGGGCCTGTTCGCGTGCGCACGCGTGTATAATATCGCTCTGATGCATTATCATGATTGAAAATCATTAGCCAGGGTAATAGCTCACGTTTGTGACATACAATCGAGATGGGGTTTAAACCTTCTACCGCGCGCCCGTTAGTCAAATCATAATGCCAGCTACCTGTCAATAAACACTATATGACATATTTTGCATCACTCAGCAGGTTGATGACTAATGTGTCAGCATGTACGTCGCATATGGTGTATTAAATCGGTGGAAAGCTTTATTAGCTAATTTTTTGTGGGATTGAATTCATCAAATGGAAGGAAATAACTCTTGCATTTTTTTCTGGGTTGAAAAGCAACGCATTACTTGTACGGTGAAAAGTAACGATAATACCTTAATATTTTAATATTTAATATTGTTTGTTACACTTAATAATGATTATTAAATAATATAATTTTAAAATCTAACGTCTTATGTTAGCATTACAAAAAAGTAATGAAAAAAGTAGCGAATAGTTTCCAAACGGTAATAATCTTATAGAGAAAATAATCGAATTTTTTGTATATCGAAAATGAGAATTATGTAGATATTTTGAAGTCTTTTTCTTGAAAAAAGATTGTTTTTAATTTCATGTACATATATAATCATACATATACATAACATTTTTATATATATTACATACATAACAATGTACACATACAATTATTTTTACTTTATAAAATATACCTGCAGATCTGATCCGTTTATATGACCAGCCTTGGAAAACGCTCAGAGGATTTGTAATTTTCATAAAATATTCATGGCACGTCAGTGCGACGTCGATGATTCAATTGTGAATTAATTCAATCGCTATAATCCCATCATTTATCGAAATTGTTTCCTTTCAAAGCAAATCTATTATATTCTATTTTATCATATTGTGTTATTTAATCATAATAGTATACATTTAAAAATTGCCATAACGGTTATATAATAATTTTGTTACATTATATTATAGAAGATTCGTAACGATGGAGAAAAAGAGAACAGAATTATTCAACTACGAAAAAAGTGATAAGATCTCATTAGATCTATGAAGGGATAAAATATAGTTGCAGGAAAGCATATACCGGGCAAGGAAACGTCTCTTGAGAAATGGTTGCGACAGACAACTGAGTTCAGTTAGCATGTTTTACTTGTTACAAGCTTTGCAGCTTTGAAACTCGAGGAAAGTTGGGAAAAGCGTACCATATGCTATACACATATACCTATCTATTAGCTATATGTGACACAAGTTCACGGCACCGTTTTTACGCTTACATACTTATTTGTATGTAAATAATGGAGATTTACTATACCGACAGATCAAAGATTATCTTTTGCCAAGCTGCATTGTTAAATTAACTACTACTCCTTTTGCATTCAAGTCCTTGCATTTTGCTACGGCACAAACTTGCATATCTATATATATATTTGCATTGTGTATAGATAATACATAGGAATAATAATGTGATATTGATATAAAAATGTGTTTTAGTCAGAAACGAGATTAGAAGTATTGAATATCTGTAATAATAGATAATAATAGTTAATAATTGTTATGACACACAATTAATAAATTCGATAAATAGTTGGTGAATGCCATAAATAAAAAGTTATAGAAAAATTTTCTGAGAATCCAAGACGATTATATGAATTGAAGTTTTTCCAATTCGAAGAATTTCAGTTTACAACTTTAAGAAAAAGATAAATTAAATTAATAAATTAAATATGTGTAATTTTGTAATTTATTTTCCAATGATATATTAACTAAAAATAATAATATAACAAAACAAGTTCATATTATACTCGATTACCCTCTCCTCGGATTCAAAAGTCTCAACTTTCATTTAGGTCCTCTCCCTAAACAATGCGCTCATATACATATACGAGTATGTATTGTATTTGTTTATATATAATAAAGTGAATAAAAAATAGAAGTAAAACTAGTTAGCAAAGAAAAAAATGATATCGTTATAATTATATCAATCAGTGAAACAGATAATAGTATACAACAGATATTTACATACATACTCATTATACATATATATGTGTATGTATATATATTACAATTCTATTTAATTTTTAATTCTTTAAAACGTACATGTATTTATTTTTTATTACAATGCGAGATTAATTATGCAAAGTGCATTCGTATAAATTATTTTACTTTACATGCCGAATGTCAAAACAGTCAATATTAGAGTTTGAAATGCAGTTTTATACTTGACCTAGTATAACTTCTTTTAGTTCATAAGCGTACCCCCCGCGTGAACATCGATTCCAAGATATAACTTGCCAACCTGTTTTTTATTCTTTGGCCTTGAAAACACATTTCTCTCAGGGCCAGGGCAAGCGCATATCGTATCGTGTTGCGCGCGATACTTTGGACGATTAATATTATCCCATGTCGTTTGAGTGAAAAAGAATCCGCGGGATTCCGGCTCCCGCAAATATCAGTGTTGAAAAATGTTTCATGAACGAAATTTATACCACT